TAGGAGATTACCTGAGAGAAACCCGTCCAGATACGGAAGGTTTCAATCAGGTCTCCCCTCAGCCTTCTCTGATTGAGTGAGAACAGGTTCAGTTCCTGAAGGCGTTCGGCATATGTCGCTCCCCGAAGGTACGGGAACATGCGCGTGAACCTCTTCTGCACCCTTTCCAGAATCCTTTGGTCCTTCCACAAAGTAGGGGACCAATCTTGTACGCAGTAATCAGGGTGCGGCCGAACGAAGGCCATGTAGAGCGGGACTAGCACGACAGGATCCCTAGACTTCACTGTGCGCTTCAACCTGAACAACGCTCTATTGGCCGTACGTGCCGCAGCAAGACACTAGGCAGAGGAGTTAAAGGCGAAGTTCAGAGTCCCTGATCTCTGGAACAACTGCCATAACATCCCCGTCGCGAGCTCCCATGTAGCGTGGCCCAAAACCCTGTGCGCTCCCGGCTCATAGGATCTTAAACTTTGCTGCATTTAAANGAGACCCCACTTTGCAGACCATGCTTGTACTGCATCTAGGTCCAGATGGATGTCTACACCCTGGCGCGAGCCAAGTAGTTTAACGTCGTCTGCAAAGACGAACGTCGGGTTCGATAGACGAAGGTTTTAAACTAAATTGATGTCGTCCACGTACAAAAAGCAGGGGTTCTCCAGCCCTGACGTTATGACGTTGACATACACTAAAAAGAAAAGGGGAGCTAGGATGCATCCTTGTGGGACCCCGCTCGAGGAGGAACCCACCTCCGACAGACATCCCGCACCCTGTAGGTCAGCCCGAACAAGAACGCACTAACCCAGTTACAGACTTTCGGATTAAGCCCAGTTTCCCGGAGCTTGAAATCTAACAACCTGCGGTAAACTGAGTCGAATCATTTCTGGAAGTCCACATTGCACACTTCGACTTCCGTTCCCTCACCTAATTTCGGTGTTACTACGCTCACGAAACCTAACAGATTTGTTAGACAAGATCTGCCTTTGATGAATCCGTGTTGGGCGTTACAAAAGAAACCGATTTGAAGAAGGTGCGCGCTTATGTAGTCTCGCAGAATACGCTCCAGAGGCTTAGCAACGATGCCGGTGAGACTGATCGAACGATAGTTGGACGGATCCGATTGGCTACCCCCTTTAAAGATTGGGACAACTGTGACATGTTTCCACTCCTCCGGAATCCAGCCCGTGTTCAGAGAATCGTTGAACATTGTGACTAGCTGGGGGATCATTAAAGATTCTATCGGTTTTAAAACAGCTGGGTGGATAGTATCTGAACCCGCGGATTTGGAGATTTTAAGAGTCTTAAAGACTCTTTCCACATCCGGTGTAGAGATCACCAGATCTGGCATGTCGCTCAGTCGATCGAGGGTAAGGTAGTTGCTCAGGCTATCCAAGCGAAAGACCTCTTGGAATGAAGCGAGGAATGAGTCGGCTATTTCTTTGTCGGTGGTCAAGAGTTGTCCCTTAATGTGAAGGGCATTGCTGATCACTTATCTCGATGAGGACCGGGCTTGAGCGTAGCCGAAGTATCTTTCGGGGTTTTTTGGGGCCTCGTTGGCTACGGTTAGTTCATACTTCAGTCCAGCCGCCCGTGCTACTATGATAGCTTTATTGCGGAGATGTTTAAAGCGAGCAAAGAGCAGGGGACTTCGCTGCCTGTTGAACGCCATCCATGCTTTATGTTTCCTCTTAAAGGCTCGGTGGACTCTAGGTCGCAACAAACGTTTGTGACCCCTTATCCCCGTTGTTTTCACAGGCATGTAGACCTCCGTGAAAAGTACAATGTTGTCCCTCATTCGGTTCTAGGTGTCCTCTATAGAGCTCAGATTGTCCCGAGCACAGTCCCTCCGCTCCGTTGACCAAGTCATCAATGTTGATGTTGTGGAATCTTCAAATTCCACTTTTGGGCTTCGGGGTTTCTACTCGGTGAAATTTCAAGAACACCGGGGAGTGGTCGATTTTGCCTAATGTAACTCCGGTCCTTATTCCTGCGACTTCATTGCCGTTCCCTCTGAGAACGAGGTCGAGAGTGGAGGGTACTCATCTAGGTCTTATCCTTGTAGGTACCATCACATACTGCGTCAAGGTTAGACCGGCTATGGTGTTGATCAGAGTCATATCAAACCCAGTTCCGCGACATGATTAATGTGTGCCCAGTTGACAGTGGGCGCGTTGAAATCACCTGAAATCAATAGACGATATCCTGATCTGGCAGCTCCACGCAAGNCAAGGCCTGATTAAGTTCCTCATCTTCTTGGTGTGACGAGCTTGGGCTGCGATAGATCCCGACAGCCATGATGGGGGGATTCACGTGTAGAATACAGGCTGCTGATTGAATGTTTGTTGAGTTAGCCATGAAATGCATCGCTGACTGACGGATCACTTACCGCACTACTAGCAAGCAACCTCCACCAAGCGAGTTAATACGGTCAGAGCGGCAATGCTGAAAGTTGTGGCTCCAGTCACCGATTTCGATTTCCTCGCGCAATCACGTTTCCGTGAGGACGCACAGATCGAACGGCGGCCGAGAGTATCGGTCACCTCGTCTCTCTTGTTTAGGATGCTGCAAACGTTTATCATCACACAGGAGAGAATCTGCGAGTAGTTGCGCTGTTTGGTGGTCGTTATGTCGGTGGAGTAATCCTCGTAAGAGGTTCTCCGTTTTTTTTGGAATATGGTCCAGGGACCGGGGTCTTTGCGATTGTTGTGGGATTTTCTCGGAGGTTACTGTCGCTGTGTCCAGGGGGTAGTGAGGACCCGAGATGACCAC